TCAGATGAAGATAAGTGGGAACGTCTAATCACTTCCCTTGTTTACTGGCAGAATTATTTTTTAGTTTATTTTTTTCTGTACACAAAAGACATAAACTACATTCGTTTTCATTACAAAACCCTTTCATTATCATACTGATTTTTTCCATGTCTAAAGACTAGCTGTTAGACTCAGCAGAAGGAAAATCGACAGGATGCTCTGTTATGAGGCTGGTTTTATTCCATAAATTTATGTCAGTCTGTGACAGAGCATTACATCTTTGTATGACATCTGCATAAGATTTCCTGTCCTAGGAACTGCTATAGCTCTTTCCTTTCATTAGATAATATCACTCCCATCTTGTTTGTACTAACCTTTATTCATGCTGCCAGAGAGGTGTGGGATGATCGCTCTACTTCCCTGTAGTAGTCAGTACCAATACGATGAGAGCATAGAAAGTGATATCATTGTCATGTGGATACATTGGCTGTGGTTTATTTCCTACAGAGGGGAACACCAGTTTAAATTTACGAATGAAAATGTATTTACAAATTCCACGATCAATTTAATCTTGTATAAATCAGCTCTGCTACAGAATGGTGCTGCCCATAGCACATCCATGGCTGCTTATGCCTGTCATCTACTTCTGCCAGTGCTGGTACTCATGTGACAAACCATATCAGGGAACTGATCTAGCTGAAAACTAACAAGGTTTTTTTGCCAGCTGAGTTTTCATTCAAACAAACTCCCTTCTCCTGCTTACTCATGGTTGCACAAACAATAATGGCAATGTGAGGGACCAGTATGAAAAATAGCCCATAGTTTAAGACAGACGGAGACTTATCCTTTTAGAAGCAGCAACAACCATTTATCCTGCTTAAGGTCATGATGGACCTATGGCATTAGCTAAACTGGTGCCAGTCACTTTATGTATTACCTTATTTTCCTGCTTCTTTCTTCCTCAAGTCAATTAGAGGCAGATTCCAACTAAACCAATGTAAGCCATTCTTAACCTTGAGTGAAAAAGGCTAGTCGGGACATTTATACTGCTAATTTGGACCAGTGCAAGCACTTGTGCCCATGTATGATCTCCACTTCATACATAAACTGAGATGAAGAGGAAACAACATCAATGCCTACTCGGTGCTACAGGAAATCTCTGCTACAGGAAATCTCAGAAATAAGAGCTGTTCTGACCAGCCCTTGCCAAGAAAGTTCTATGACACCAGAAAAATCATTCACTATGACTCTGCTGAAGTTTTACATAGCCTTTAGGAAGCAAAAATGCCTGGCTAGATGTCAAAAGTCCTAGTAGCAGCTGTAGCCAACAAAAAATAAATAAATACAAATAAAAATCTCAGGCCAGCTAGTATTAGGTCTTTCCATCCAAGATCCTTATGATTTAATGAGTTAAGAACACTCTGAGAGCTCCCAGCCTAGACTGCCTGGGGTTTGCCCTTTCCTCAGAGAACTGTAAGTCACCCAGGATGACAGCTTTGCTTCACAGAGGTCTTCATTCCCAATATATCAATAAATGTCATAGGGGAGCTATTGCTTTTCATTGTTTTCCATAATATTCTGCATAACTAATTTAACATTGCCTAATCTGGTTAGAGATCTGGTCCTAACCCTAAACTGGAATTTGGGAATCTAAAGCTTTCTAGTCAGCAGACACTTTGGCTGCACTGGCCATCATTGAAATTTGCATACCCCTGAACAGGCTTTATAGCCTGCCTCCCAGGAAGCCAGGAATGCCCACATTATCCTCATCCTTGTTTCTGTTTTTTTCCATTGCTACCTCCATTTCTTAGGCATCTATTGATCCTGAAGCTCTCAGAAATATTTGGTATATACAAAGGAATACAGTTATTATGAAACACTAATGTACCAAAAAACACCATGTATTATCCACACATCATCCTTATGTGGAGGGGTTCACTTGCACTTTTGAAAACAGTGCCGGAAGGTATAGGCTACAGACATATAGTTTCCTGAATAAGCACAAGAGGGGTTATGTGGACTAATAAACTAAGATGATGTTTTCCTACCACCCTTATCCACATAGGCTACTTGACCTGCTGTCAGAAGTAACAGCACTGAAGGCCCTTAACTAAGGTTAACCATCTCCTGTGTACACGGGGCTTGACTGAAATGCTCAGGACCAGTTCTTTGGTTGGCTCCACTCTTATCTTACTTGAAGCTGATACAGGGGGTGCATGTACCCTTACTGCAGCTCCTTGCAAATCGTTGGGAAGAAGCAATCACTTTCTGGCAGATTCAGTCAACTACAAACAGCGGCACTTTTCTGAAATGTCACAGCAATCTAGCCTCAGTCAGGCAACAGCAGCAACCGAGCAATTTATGTTGCTGGTAAGGCTGCAGGGAGAAGGAAGGAAGAAACAAGGTATCACAGTGAGAAATGTTTACCAACTGCTTTACAGTTCCCCAGGTTGTTAGCTTTTGTAGTTAGAGGGGTGACTTCTGATCTTAAACAAATGGCACAGGGTGTGAAAATTGATCAGTATTTCTTTATCAGCATCCCCATTTTGAAAATTACTTCCAGTATGGGGCTGAGAATCTGATACTCAGAAAAGCTCTCCAGGAGAACTGTAATGCCACTACATTTAGTGAAACAAACAGTAAGTGTGGTGTTCTTGTGTTTACTTTTTCTGCCTTCTATCTATGGGAAGGGGAAAATCAACAAACTAGAGGTTAAATTATGACGTTTCAGCATCTGAATATTGGAACTTAAACTGGAACTTACCAGTTAGACCAAATTGAAAATTAGTATTTTGTTCCTAATATAGTAATAAAAAACAATGAACAAATGTAACTACAGCTGTTCTTTTTAAACTCAAAATACAAACTCCATTATACAGCTAGAGAACTCAAATGAAAGCAAAAGTTGTTTGGAGTGTAAATGTTTTCCACAACTAAATAATTTCATATGTTGATAAATTCATATTTTGTGAATACATGCAAAAATGACATCTCTTTCATTCTGTGTGAAACATCTTACAGTTTCTGTTGTCAGAACAGCATCTGTTGTCACAACAGTACTTGAACAGATGTGACAGGTTTTAAGCAAGTACCTAAACTTTAACACGTATTTAATTTAGAAGTTATTGTAAATCACAGAAGGTAGAGGTAGACAGCATAAAGGTGAGAGTAATCTGTATCTCAAACTTGTTGCTATTTGAAATACAAAAAACAAAATCCCTTCATGAATTAATATGTTGTGATTTTTGTCATAACATTTTTTCTGTTAAATATCTTACCTACAAGGGTTAGCATATAAGTTCTTCTAGCGATGATTTAGCTGAATTACACACAAAAGTACACCACAGACTCCCAACTCTAGAAGGTGTGGTACTTCAGCACAAGTCTGCAACAAGAATAGTTTCATTTAAATCAGTTTAAATTACTAACAAATATAAAATACACCATGAAACCAATTACCATGAAGCTAAAGGAGTTAGCATATATCTACAAGAAAGTGGTTGAGCTTAGATCAATTGGAATCAACAGTTGTACCAGCACTGGGAATGCCTTATCCACAGAGATTGATGTAGCCCAGCAGAGCATCCCATACAAGGATTCCTTGCAGAAACAGTTGTTTCACATCTCCAGCTGTGCAATTCTGTCCTCTTGTTGAAGATCAGCATCCCCACAGGAACCTTGAAAGAGCATGTCCCAAGAACACTCTCCATTTGCTTCAGTGCAAGGCAGGTTGGCCTAATTCAGACAGCTCTCTTTGTAAATTAAGCCATCTTTTGTACCAAATTGGATGAGAGATGTCCAACTATTAGCTTAGATGGGGCATGAGTGTCAGCTCCACAGGGAGTTACAAACAAGAGATTACAATGTCTTTGGCCAGTACAGCCATTTCTTCAGTGAAGGTCTGACTCATATGTCTGATGTGATTATAAATCTAGCCCAGGTGCAATTTGTACTAGCTTCATTTGCACTAGCATAATGAAAGCATCCCCCTTCCCCATGCCCTCCCTCCCCCCCACCCCCAACCCCCCAACAAAACAAAGCTATATTGCTTCAGTTTCCTGTTACAATTTATGTAAAGGCCATGTGCACTCCTGGGTACAGCTCAAACCATTTGAGAAAACACTCCCTAGAGCTGTGTTCTTACCACTGTCCAGCTGCAGATCATTTTGCTGACACTGCTGAGCCAAAGTTGTGTGAGCGGTCCTAGCCCATTTCACTACACATGGTAAATTAAATCTAGATACCTGCTGATATTGCATGTACTCAGACTAGGAATACTCACTATGGCTCTAATTTACTGTTAGTTAAAAAGTTTCAGAAGGTATTTCAAGAGTTTGTTAACAGCTCTTGTGAGAGAACAAACCTTATACTGCTTTCTGTAGTACTTTTGGTAGAAGTCTGTAATGCAGACTCTAAGGATTATCTGTGCTGCAAAGTGGTAAAATTTCATAAAGTAGAGCTGCCCATGGAAAACCCTGTTTGAGACAAGGCATGTACATAGAGCTGAGGCTTTTTAATCTTCATTATATACCTGCAGCAGTTTATTACAGACCTATTGCAGTTCTGCAGAACAGCTTTTGCTTCCCCATGCAGCATGTGGTGGCAAAAGGTTTTTTTAATGTTAAGAGATGAACTGGGGTTGTGATCTTCCTGGCTTGGGCTTCTTTCTGGTCATCAGCCCTTAACTCTCCCTGCAGCAGTAGGTGCCACCACTTTGCTCCACCCTTCAGCAGTACATGTAAATCGGGGGCAGGCCAGGGAGTTCCAGCTTAGAGAGATGGTCCCTGCCTGTCAGGACCTCAGTAAAGGCTCAGCTAGCAGTACAACTGGACTATGTCTTGTCGACGTTGTTATAAGGTGGGCAGAAAGACGGAAGTTTCATCCATCCTCTTTTCTCCTGTTGTTGCCGTGTATGGTGTGAGAACTGCTGCATGTGATAGGCTTCAGTGACGGGTTTTGGACCTCTTCCTTCTGCTCAAGCTTTTCTGGAGGATCTCACGGTACTTCAGCCTGCAGGAAAAATGTACTTGGGAAATCACGTTAGGTAAGGCTCCCTAAACTGCCAGGGAACATCTCTAGCAGAGGATGCTTTTCTTTTTAGCAGTGCTTTTTTTTTGGTTGATAATCGGGCCAGGAAGCTGAAAGGAACAAATGTACCTGGAACTGTGAGTGAAGGTTAATGTTTTCCTCTTGCCTTTGCTGCTTTTGTAACTGGTGGCAACAACTAGTTGTGGTAATGAAATGCACAGCTAGTGACATTTTTGTCTGGTTGTTAACCAGAAGATGCATGGAATCTCTAACTTTCTGGAAGTAAGACTAATCTGTATGTCCCTGTTCTCTGCCTGCCCCACTCCGGCCTCCGCCCCCCACCCCCCAAATTTTAAGGAATAATTTGATATTTTTTATGTGTTAATTCGAATTACTGCTGGTATAAAATATTTATAGTTTATATTATCAATGCTTGATAAAGCTTTGAAAAAGATTTTCCCTTCCCCTCCCAGCCTCCGTCTTCGTTTGGTGTTTGTGTCTTTTTAACACAAATTTATTTCAGATCTTTATTTTTTGTAGAATTCTTTTCACTGTTACTCTGGTCTGCCAGGCTGTTCATTTAGGAAAAGGTAAGGAGAACTTCGTGTTTCCCTCTTCCTCAACCGTGTTTCTTAAGTACATTTACAGTATGTATTGATTTATTAATAGCTACCATTCTCCTCCATACCTGCACTTCTTGTCCAGGCAGTGAAAAAGAAGAGCTTGAAGAATATATGAGAAGTCTCAATGCCACAGCACAAAGGCAGCAGCCCAAGAACGAAGGGACTATGATAAATACTCTCAGTGACATGAATCAGAGTTATGAAAACAGAAAGCAACAGAATTCCAGGGCACTGGTACCTTTCACTGGGATTACGGAGAGTAGGTAACATTATTTATTTAAACAATGCCATAAAAATGGCTTTAAAAAATATTGTATCACAGTGATGCATTGACTGCTGTCCTGGAAGATTCCAGCTGTCTGGTTTACTGTGACTGTTCATTTAAACTATGCCCGGGGCCACTTAGGAAATGGTGATAAAAATTTAAGGTAGAACCTGCAAAAGGTGGTAATGGAAAACAGGGAAGAGTGCTAGGAATTAAGAATGGGTTGGTCCCATATTTCTTGACAAAAAATCATTTAATTCAAAAATAAAAGTTACAGTACTAATAGAAAAGAAAAACCAACAACAACAAAAAAACCCCAAAAAACCAAGAACCAAAAAACCCCAAACAAACAAACATAAAACTTGTAAAAACAACCAAGTACAGACTTCTGTTTCTTCCCACCTATATAAAGTTTTAGATAGGCTTGAGGAGGGAGCGTTCCCCTCCCCTCTCAAAACTAAGCAACTCTTCCCAGTATCAAAGCCTCCTTTATTCAAAAATAAGTACCACTTCTCAGTGAAAATGCCCCATTTCTTATTGAGACTGAAACCTGCCTCTGTCAAAGTGAAATATTTCATTTGAATAGATACTGCTGCTACAGGATTTGCCAGGCGTTGCTTCTTGACCGTCCTTTAATCCCAAGTAGTTTACTTCTAATCCTTAACTAAACAAACTGGGTTTAACTGAACAAACATTCCTAACAGGCAGATAATTTTATTATCTCTAAAGACAATAAAACTAGATATTCTTAAGACCCTTTGGCAACTGGAGAGACCTGAGAGAACAAGTGAGGAAAAGAGGAGGTTCAAAGCCCCTGGGATGATTAGTAAACTCTAACATTGTCTTGCAGGTAAAAAACTGAACAGGCACTGCTGCCAAAATGGAGGGACCTGTATCCTAGGGGCTTTCTGTGCCTGCCTAAAGCATTTCACTGGCAGATACTGTGAACATGATGAGCGGCAAAGGTAAAAACCAGAGCAAAGCCAGAGACAGTGAGCAAGGTGCTCTGGAGAGTTATTTTCTGTGGTGGGATCAGGGACGTACCAAATGTCTCCCTTGTCCTTGACAGCAACTGCGGCAGCATTGCCCATGGTGCCTGGGTGCTGAAGGGCTGTTGGCTGTGTCGGTGCGGCTATGGTACTCTGAACTGTCTCTCAGAAATAATGCACGATAACTGTGGTAAGGAATGGCATTAAATCAACCATTTTTATCTTGTGAGTATCAGAATTGCCTTCTGCAAAGATGAGGTACTCAGAGGACTTTGTATGTGCTCTATTTAGGCTTCTGCAGTGGCCTGCTTTGCTTCAGAGAATGAATTAGTGACACAGTAAATAATACTGCTGTTGCCTGTACAGCACATCACATAAAGGACTTTGAGATCTTTATAATCCTTTGCAGTACGAAACTTTCCCCTATTTTGACTGAAAATTACAGGGATAAAATGTTTCTCTGTTCTGCAAAACCTGCTCATGTCTATGACTTGCCACTTAACCAGGACAAATTGTACAAGTAACTATATCCGAGAATAGAAATATCTTTCTTAGATGAGGAAAGAAAAAACAGTAGTGTAAGCCGGTGTGGCAGAAGTAGAAACCAGTATTACACTAGAGGAACAAGTGCTGAAAACTTGCATGTTCTTGCATTAGCTACATAACACATAAGTTGCAGAAAATAGGTCTGAACCTTATTTTAAGATGTGTATCCCAATCTTAAAATATTCTTGTACAGAGCTCTACAAATGAGTACACTTCACAAAAAATACATAGCCATAGTACTCATCAGTTCGAAGTAGTAGTACCTAGTCTCCTCAAAAGCACTATATAACTTTAAGTCAAGTCTTTATATATCAGCCTGTGAAAATCCCTGTAAAAATATTTGAGTATTTTTGAAAAAAAAAAGCATATCAGCAAGCATAAATATGAAAGGATTGTGTTACAGATAATTTATTTTCCACAGAGAACTGGCTACTGAGGTCCAGATTATTTCAGTACTCTGAGATTACTAATAAGAGTTTAATATTATTTTATTTCCAGTGGTAAAGTTAATGCAAAATGTTCTTGCTCTTCTGCATCCATGATGTCTCATCCCACTCTGTGCTGTAATATATATTCCTTCAGTTGTGCCAACATCACTAGTTAGCAGGGTAAGAAAACAGACCTAAATAGCTTCAAGATTCATTTGCACCCCAAGGAACTACCAGCCTTTCCCGATTCTTGTCTGAGTAGCAATGCATTGAAGCTGTGACTCCTGACTTATACCACCAACTTGGAAGTAAATAAAAATTCCAAAACTTCAGCCTCCTAGGTCCCCAGGATATGTCCTACTGTGAGATAAGCCCACAAGTCCAAAGAAGTGAAAGGCAAAAGAAAGGTGACACTCCTATCTTTGCAACGACAACGAAAGACAGAAGGGGGAAAAAAAACCCAACCAAAACCAAACCAAACCAAACCTCAGACCTCAACAAAAAACCACAAACCCCTGCCAAAATCAAAATCCCACTACACCACCAAAACCCTTTTTGTCTTGAAGTCTTCTGTATTGACAAATGATGTGTGGCACGCAACTGGCTAGATAAACTCTACTGAAGAGTTGAATGTTAAAGTTCCCTTGGGTGTTGGCTTTTGAATCAGCTCTATTGTTTCCCAATACAGGAGCAAAATACCTAACAGGCCTCACCAAGCTCAGTAAAAGCAGTCTACTGCTTACTACTCTGGAGCTCAGCCTAACAAAGGCAATAAAGGCGACAGTGGAGAATCGTCTGCTTGTCCTCTGAACAGAGACTCAGTGGTTTTCACATGCATGAGGGTATGGCTTTCTGCTTGTGCTAATAAATGAAGCCCTTTCTTGTTAAAGGAAGGGTTAAAAGGCTACAGGCAGACTTGAGTGCATACCTCTTGTGAAGATCTTGCTCTTGCTTTGCTTGGTATTTACTTTTGATTATTCTGAGACTAATGCCTGCAAGAGCTGATAAGTGCTATCAGTTGCTCCTCAAACGATCACTGATGGGACATCTATTCACATCTCTCCCCTGAGAATAGGGTCTTTGATTGGCTTTAACAGCTGATACCTTTAACTTAAGTACTTGTGAGATTTCAGGGACTTTCAAAGTGTGTTGAAAATCCTTATGTTTTAAAATTTGCCTATTTCAGTCATTAACAATTTTCTTTTCTTTATATTTTTTTAGAACTGAAATCAGAAAGGGAGGAAATTACCAGGCTATATTCTAATGGGCTAAGATTACAGCAAACCATGTTTGTGCTCAGTTGCCTGCTCACTGTACTCCTGGAGCTCTGCTGCTGGCAGTTGTGAAACTGGACAAAGGGAAATACCTTAGGGCTGATGTAACCCTCACCAACTACAACTTTTTTCTTCTGTAAGGTACAGGGAACACTTCTACCTACCTACATGTTGGAGGCAGATTATGATGTATTAGTTAATGCTAAAATGTTTCAATTGTTATAAATTCAGATTATATGAATGTGAAGTATTTATTATTATATTATTACTACTATTAATGTCTGATTTTAATGATTCTTTTAGTTCTAAAATACTGTTCTTCCAGTGGAAGAGAAAAAATTCTCAATGTTCTATGCCTTAAGTCTTGTAAATTATAGTAATTTCCTTTGTACACAGTACACCTCTTTTAACAAATAAAGATGACTTCATTTCTGAAGAGCTTTTATGTTTGCTTTTATTTAAACTTGAAAATTCTTATCTACCATTTGTCATTCGATTGTATCCTGTAACAAAACAGTAAGAAAAGAGCAGGGCAGAAGGAACAATCTGAAATTTGAAGAGATAAGGAGGAGTTTAAGGGTAGATATATTTCAAACCCTAACATATAGAAGAACTCTAAAAGTTACATAGTCTTTCTGGTTTTACTATTGTTTATTATAGCTCTGTATATTCTTAGGCAGGAAGTATGTTTCTTAAGAACACATAGCAGATACTGATTTGTCTTTCAGTGGTATATTTTATTTCACATCCTAGGAACAGGAGTTCTCCTTTATTTTTAAAAGGACAACAAGAGCAACTTCTGAACGTTTTATATAGGAAATCTGTCTTGATTTATATATACCATTTAAATATTAGTATTTCTGGACTGTAAAATAAAAAATGCTTGGAATGTGCAACTGCATTTGTAATGGAAGTTTATAAAATACCAGAAATACATTTGTTTAAAAAAAAAATGCAAAGAGATTCCAAAATAGTACCTACATTGAATGTGGAGCTACCACCTAGAGACAATCATATTTATAATTTTGTTGGTTAAAAACATTATTGATTCATAAAATCCTTAAGTACTTTTAAAAGTTCAATATATTTAATCTTAAAATTTCTTTATTTCTTTGGTGACACAAACCAAGACAACAGTCCAGTTATTAAGTGGAGAATTATCCATCACCAACAAATGGCTTAATATTGTGGATGCTTTTGAATCTATGACCATCCATTAACAGACTTTTAAAGGGATTAATTGTGTTAACACATATTAATGTTGAATACTGCAAAGTATTCAGCCTGCTCCTTTCCACACCCTAGACTTGAGTGGAAAGAGTAATGCTTCCCAGTCTTCACTTAGGACTAGACTCACTAGATTCACTCTTCACTTAAGATCAGACTCACACTAGACCAGAAACAGTCCTTTTCTCCCAGAAACTCATCTGTATCCATATGCTTGTGTTTCCACAGACTTTGAATAGGAGGTACTAGCAATGGATAATTAAATATCTAAGAGAACAGCTGGAGGAAAATAGTCATGCCTTTATTTATCAGATGTTGAAATTGCAGGAATGCGATTGTGAAAATATCTTGCTTTGCTATAAAGTCTGTAGACAGCTTGTCATGTTCTTCAGACAAGCTTTACTTTTTGAAGAAAAGCAGCAATATATGTGGAAAGTACAGTAAAAATGTATGTGAAGTAATTCTTATTTTTATCTCAACAGAATACAGAGCCATAAAAGATTACAATTAACAAAAGGAAAGAGTTGTCTAAGACAGCGTTTACAACAGAAGAGCTATTTCTGTTGCAATAACATCCATAGCAGATTTAATCAGGAAAAGCTGATCTGGGATAACTCCTTACATAGATCTGCCTATGTGTCTGCAAGAGTCACCTTGATGAAGCTATACATTATTGGGTTGGTATGAATTAGATCAATTACAAAGTCTAGCAAAGCAATATTTTCCTGCTGTACCAAAACATCAGTCCAAGGCACCTAATTAGAAGGAGCAAGATACAGTTTTAAAACATTGAATGGGGAACTTAACTTCGTAAGTGATTATAATTAATGTCAGTGTAAATCACTACTCACTCGGAATGCTAGGATTTGAAAATTTTTTCCTGTGTACCTAGAAGAAGTGATAGAAGGTTTTTGTTTGTTTGTTTGTAAGATAACAGTTCCTTTTCTTTCTCCCTTGTGCCATTGTGTTCTGTATTTCTGGAAAATCTGAAAATGACTGCTTCAGGTTTGTTTTACATCTACCATACTATGGCAAGACATATCCTCAGTGATGATTAGTTGTCAAAGATGTTTGTCTGGTACGAGCAAGCAGAATTGAGCACAAAGTCTGTTGTCTTTGCATACATGAAACATAGGAGGCAGCCACAGGAGTTGAGTTTGAGGAGAGGAAAGAATAAAAAGCATTCAACAGCTGTCCATGCATAGTCTTGTTCTCAAATAAAAAACTAAGAAGGACAGAAAGCACTGAAGAACAAAGGATAGCACACAGTCACAATCTTTGCTTAGGTTAAAACTGTCTCTGCTTTTATCTGTCTCCAGCTGTTTGCAATAACAGATAAAAGAAAGCATTATTTTCCTTCCCTGCTACCAGGGGGGACTGGTTAACTTTCTAACACTGTAATTACAGGCACTTTGGTAAGGTTTGTTTATAGCAAACAACGATGCTTGCTCTCCAGCCTCATGCTAACTATTTATGGGCCACTCTGTTAAACATAGCATGTCCCAGCAAAACAGACATCTGTTGCCACAAGTTCATGGATGTGCCCTCTCTATATGCAGCCACATTTGGGCAGGCGGAAGACCCTCAAAGAGAAATATTTATAAAATGCTTCACAGGGCCCAGGGCCTACAGACCTTTCACACTTCACGGTTGACTCCAAAACTAAAACAAACGGTGCAACCTATGATTGCAACTGCTCCAGCCTCCACCACCCCTCGGGACATGCCGCTGATAAGGACTCATGGCCAGGGGAACAGCATGGCAGGGGGGGCTGACTCCTCTGTGGCCTTGATGCCCCAGAGCTGAAGCTCCGCAGCCCGGAACAGGTCTGCAGGGGGATTCTGCCATCTGCTCCTAATGTGAAAAACTAACTTGCAGGGACCAGATGCTGAGAAAGTGTCACTCATTTGGCTTTTTGAGTATCTGATGGTTATCACTCAAGGTGACTTTATTCCTAGCAAGGGGAGATGAATTTCTGTTGTCCCTGAAAAGTGTTCATACTGCCCATAGTTGCCCATAGCTTTCCCTCACCTGTAACTGTGAAAAAGATCTTTTTTTTTTTTTTCAGCCAGGCAAAATAGAAACAGAACTAATTGTTTACCCAGAGTTGGTGGTTTAAATTGGCATATTTAAGATTGCTAAGGTCTACCCCCAGATACTTTATTATATGTCTTTCATTGATTCCAACAGTGTGTCAGCAGGCTGTGTATCTAGGTCATTACACACACCGGTTTCATGTGCCTGAGCAAGTGCATACCAACTTTATACTTTGGCTTCCATTTATTGGAAGTCTGACACACTACAGCAGGCTGGCTCATGTGCTAAGCAGCCCTGTGAACTGCAAGTTATAGGCATATGTCTTGTGGAGGCCTATCTAGTCAGTCACCTTGCAATCATCAGCTGCAATTCACCACTTGTCTCACCTTTTCACAACACAGTCCTGTAGGAGCATGGGAGACTTAACAACAACTGAGCGGCTGTATTCTTGCACTCTGCAAAATTACCTGAGCATGATGAGTACTTCTTGTGATTGCAAAGCATTTTGTTTGTCAGAGTGGACATTAAAACATGTAATTCCCTCCACATTGGTTGGTTGACTTTGCCCTTGGCTGATGCTGCTGTGAGGGTGACTTCTTATTCAGGGAGTGAAGCTGCCGTATGCCACTGGAATAAAACCAGATGCCTTATGGGTGTTGAGTCTAGCATTTGTCTTCAGGTACATGCTGGCACAGCAATAGCTTTCATGAGCAGGTGTCTTTGTCTGCTTCAGCCCAACCACATCTTTACAAAAAAACAATTTATAAACCAGCCTGCAAGGCTTCAATTCAGATATTATTTCTGTGACAACACTTGGAGGAAATGCTGAGAATGTACCACCAGGACAGAAGCACTGCTAAATGTTCAAAGGCAAACAGCCAGAAAGACATTGGAATTATAGGCACATTTTCCTAGCTGAATGTCCTGGCAGCTGGCCCCATGGACCTCAAAGATCTTTTCTGCCAGCCAAGATACTTCTCTGAGCTTCATGTGTTGTCTGGGATATGTGGTCACCTTTCACTAGGCACAGAAACTTGTGGGTGGAAATAGACATACAACCTATGAGGCCACAAGTCACAAGACTGATTCTGGCTGGACTATAGAAGACATTTTCAACCCATGCTTACAGAGTTTTCTGTCACCAGACAGCACAACAGTGCTGAACATGAACTTCCTTTGTACACATGCCATGTAATATCCTGCATCTCTTACCAGCAGCATGTCTTGCCCCTTCTCTTCATTACAATGCATATATCTGTCCACTAAACAAAAAGCTTTATGTGATTTGGTTTACTCATAAGCATTTCAAAAGGTTTAGTTAAGACGAAATCTTGTATACAGATCAAAGGAACAGGTCTGCTTCCTGTACTGACAGAAACTGTCAAGCCAAAATCTAGAAAGTTTAATGGGGAAAGTTGTACTTCATGTTTTCATATTGCCAAGATCACATCTTTCCAAAAAGTATAGAAAAGGGTACCGTGAAAAATTTAATTAAAGATTAAGAAGTGGTACAATGCTGGAAATACAGTCTTTGCAAAAGCAGCTTTAAAAAGAACAAGCAGAGAGTTAGGATCAAAAAGAATAGGTGTCAAAGATCCTTCCTACCTGACTTTGGACATGGACTCTTCTGGAGACTGTTTCTTGGACCAGAAAGTTTTATAAAAGAAGGAAGATTAATAGACTTGACAAATCCCATGCTTTACGTGCCAGCCTGTTCTTTCAGTCACAACATTATGTTCCCTTACCTTAAACCTGCATAATGCAGCACCAGTAAAGAAGCTGCTTCTCATACAAGGAGGGAATCCCAG